CTTCCTCTTAGATTTTCTAATTTTCAGTTCAAATGGTTTTGTTATTAATCACGGGGAAGTGTTGTCTATACTGTCGTTTGTGGGAAATAAAATAAGGAAACCCATAAATTAACCATTATGTGCATGGAACATGTGCGTAAGTGCAATTTGATTTAAAATACACTGCTGGCGATCGGGTCGATCGCGGGTTGTCCCTCACTACTGAATAATGCTCATGCCGATCGATTGTGAATGTACATAAAGTAGACCACAAACATTAATTATTAAAAGTCGCATTTAATAAAAAAAATGATAAACGGCTAATTATTAGTGTTTAACCAGATAAAACAATTGCTTATATCATATAGTTTGTTAGTGCATCCCCAGTTGGTTTCATATTTGAATACACAACCGAAAAAAAAAAAAAAAACAGAGTTGTTGAGGAGAATATCGCACATTGGAGAGATGAAGTTTCCGTCAAAGATGTAGAAAACGTCTCCATTATTGCAGTCCGCCATTTTTTTTTTCACAGCTTCTCATATCCTTCTCCTCAAATCTCTCTTTGCTTTTTGGGACTTCTCCTCCAGATTCAAGATAACAGTATTTTTTTTTTTTTTGTAAATATTGGAAACAAAATGTTGAATTTATGTTAAGCTTATTATATTAACACTTCACAAATTGTTGAATAAACCCCACATACTTAATACACTCCATATTTGCTTTTTCACTTTAACATTATCTTAATACACCCCACGTACTTTCCCATAATACCCCACACCCCATATTCTCAGTATACACCTTATATTTTGTACATACACCCCACATTTTCTATACATCCCACATTTCTCAAATCTTATAACACTCATTTTTAATTTTCAGAGACTGAATCTAACCATTTGAACGTTTAGTTTGCCAAAAGATTTCAAATCATCAGCAATGACTTCATTGTGAAGGTCCCATGAGAGCTGGGTTGATGAAAACTCCCTTCAATAGAAATCCCCGTAAATTATTACTCTTAGAAATTTAAGTGTTGAAAATGACCTTGTGAAGGGTCATCTGACCTTGTGAAGCCAACCATGGCTCATTTTTAAAGACATAATTGAAGCCTGTATCATATAGTATGTTTGTACCTTTGTTTTTGCAGCTAAACGATATATGTCAGGTACATCTAATTGCTTGTGATGCTTAGGATAGGCCACTTGCCCATACAGATCATACTTGTCAATGAGCTTGAGCACGGTTGTAAGAACAACCGAGCTACTATTTGACATTTCTTCAATGTCATCTTTGTTGCCAAGATGATAATTAATATTAAATTTTAATGTGGGAGTGCATTCAACATTTTATGGGGTGCTAATACAAAAAACCTTTATGTTATTTTGGCCATAAAAAATAGAATTTTGTTAGGGTTTCAAAAGTCATTTTATAAAAGGTTAAATATGTCACTAAAATTTCCAATAAAAGTGGGTGGGAAGATAGGGTTGAGGGGTGGGTTTATCATCACTCTAAATAAGGTTTTTATCACAAATGGTCTCTAAAATTTACCCTCACCATCAAGGTGGTCTCTGAAATTGAAAATCAATCAATGTAGTCCCTGAAAATAGGTGTCGCAAATCAATATAATCCTTCCGTTACAATTCTGTTAAAAATTTCATTAAGTGCTGATGTGGCACATAAATAGGTCCCACAAGATTTAAGGGTTTTTATCACAAATGATCCCTAAAATTGACTCACACCATCAAGATGGCCCTTGAAATTGACCTACACCATCAAGATGGTCCCTAAAATTGAAAATCGATGAATGTAGTCCTTAAAAATATGTGTCGTAAATCAATATGATCATTCAGCTACAATTCTGTAAAAAAAATTGTTATATGCTAATGTGGGTTTAATAATTAATTTAAAAAGTTGTTTAAATACATTTTTGCACAATAATTTTTTTTTCTTATAGTAGGACCTACTCCGAAAAGATATCTCTTCCATAAATTCTTAAAGGCACAAAGCTTAACCAAGGCCCGAGAGGGGATTTAGAAAGAAAAATACATTTATAAGAAATGCATAATGAGATTTTTGGAATGTCAATGACACGTCCCTAAATTTTTACTAAAATTGTAGGATCTGTGTTCTTAGTCCTTGGTGAGGTTCTCCCAAAAATGTTACAATGGAATAGATAGCCTCTAACTTCAAGTTATATTGAAGGTAATGATTTTTCATTTGGAAGGGATTAGAAGAGACTATTGATACACGAAACTTCTCCATTCTAACCATACCATTTTGGAAAAGAATTGCAATGGATAAATTTTCTTCTTAAGTAATCCATCTCCTACCTCTATGTTTGCCACAAAATTTTTCATTTTTCCTTTAACATACCTTGAAAAGTAATGGTTTATCCATTCAAATCCAACCCTTTTTATCAAATGAGACCCACTTGATAATCCTATTACCTTCAAATGATAGTAGTTTTAGCATTGTAAGCTTTCACACGCATGTAATTAGTTGTTAATGCATATTTCTTTTAATAGTAGAAAATGATCTTGCAAGATTAACTCTTTGAAAATAGTCACATGCATAAAGGAATGACAGTGACAAGAAGAAAAACTGATTGCAAATCTTTGAATTTTATTCTATAGCTAGACACACAAGAAAGAAACACTACACATTTACAAGAATACTACCCTAATTACAAATAGTATGCAGTTCCAGAAGTTCAAGTTAGGTGGCCTTGACTTGCATTTCAAAGATGGGCTAGCTGCAATTGGTCAAAATTAATTGCCCATCGTTTGATCAACCTTCAGCCTCACCCTATAAATACCATACCTCCTCTCTCACTTCTTCACAACTCAAAATCTCCCATTACACCATCTTCCTTTTCATCAATTTCTTTTTCTCACTTTCCAAACAATTCGCAGAATCATGGGTGTTTTCACATACGAATTCGAGTTCACTTCCGTCATCCCCCCTGCTAGGTTGTACAATGCCTTTGTTCTTGATGCTGACAACCTCATCCCTAAAATTGCACCACAGGCAGTGAAGAGCACTGAGATCCTTGAAGGAGATGGTGGAGTTGGAACCATTAAGAAGATCAACTTCGGTGAAGGTAGCACATACAGCTATGTGAAGCACAAAATCGATGGGGTTGACAAGGACAACTTTGTGTACCAATACAGTGTCATTGAGGGAGATGCAATCTCTGAGACAATTGAAAAAATCTCGTATGAGACTAAGTTGGTGGCTTCCGGCAGCGGTTCCGTTATCAAGAGCATCAGCCACTACCATACCAAAGGTGATGTTGAGATCAAGGAAGAGCATGTCAAGGCTGGCAAAGAGAAGGCCTCACATCTCTTCAAGTTAATTGAGAACTACCTCTTGGAGCACCATGATGCCTACAACTAAATTCTTCTGCCCCTAGCTACAATGATTTTCTAAGTATTGATAAAAAAAAAACTTTGTGTCCTCTTTGGTATCAGTTAATGAATTGTTCGTGTGGTTTTCATTTTCTTTCTTTTTTCTTTTTTTTTACTTCTAAAACACTATTCTGGCTTGTAATTGGAGCTTTGATTGAAGACTCAATATTGTATTTCCCTACATTTATCAATGAATAAAAGGAAAATCATGGATTTGATAATATATTTGAATGTTTCTTTTTAACAATAGGTTTGATGAGTTGGTCTCCTTAAGTGTGGCCATGTCGAAATTCAGGAAGGGTGGCAGCTGTAAGCCTTGAGAGCCGACCCTGTTAGGCATCGAAGATGCCTCCTTAAGGATTCTTCTTTGGAACCACATCAAATAAGAGATAACCATTTAACAAACCCAACGTATCTAACATCTAATTAGGGCCCAATTTAAGCATGCATATCCTAAATACGGAATCATATTTCTAAATGAAATGCTCATTAAAAGTAATTTATTTCGAATCTGTACCGAAGCTGCGGAGTCGCTGTTTAGAGTGATGTGACCAGCGGGGTCAGAGTCTCCTTTGAAATATTTAACCCGAGGCAGAGCAATGGGTCATCTCCGATCCGCGATCATAGTTGATACTCAGAGTGGAGGTGGCTCAGGCCTGAAAGGTCGAACTTAAGCTACTGGGGATTGCTCAGAGTGGATTGGATCTGTGATTCCGCGTTCGTCACTCCGACCCGAGGGCTACCTACCAGCAGCTCCAATAAATTTTAGGACGTGATATCCACACACCCCTTTTTACTTTTCTCGCACTTTTTTAATTTTTAACCGTCGGATCGGATGAATTGAAGAAGATCAACGGATAAAAACTAACTAAAATTTATTAGAGCTGCTAAAATTTATTGGAGCTGCTGGTAGTTAGTGGGGACTTGACTTGCATTTCAACGTGGGCCACCTGCGAGCAGCTCCAGCGGGACCAAATCCCCTTGCGAGTAGGCAATCCAATCCATTCATTCCCCCCTCAAAAACCCTCCAGCCCAATCCAGGGAGCCCGATTCTTCCATCAGGCGATAATCTATTGGCCCAGCGCCTGGCCTACATAACCTAAGACTGATGTCATCGTAACATTAACCACAACTTAAATTATTAAAAATTCGTTAAAAATAAAAAAATAAAAAATTTACATAAATACATAACCATGTTCTTTTTTCTTTTTCTTTTTTTTTTTATAACCATATTCTTTCACTTTATCCTACATTTCAATATTTTCAAATACTTTCAACCAAGCTTTTATTATTATTCGTAAATAAAAATAATATTTTAATATCAATAGCCTGAGCTATTCAGTTTAGAGATGCAGATGCACTTGAACAATTACTGTTCACTACAGAAGTTACTGTTCAGATAAGGGAATTGAGTTGCTTATAACCCACGAGGCATTTTAGAGTGGAAATGCTCTGTCAAACATTGATTGCTCATTGGACAAACAGTTGTTATGAACAATAATTGAGGTTCGTCGACCTTGTGGTAAGCGGCGCATTTTCTTATTCAATATCCAGATGGTCCCTCCCTTCCCCTTGACAAAAATACAAAATTACATGTACATAAATTAATGGTTCCCACGCCAATGAATAGAACCAAGCAGGAACTAGCATAAATAAACCTTTTGATCAACCCTCAGCCTCACTCTGAAAATACATAGCTCCTCCCTCACTTCTTCACAGCTCAAAATCTCCCGTTGCATCATCTTCCTTTTCATCAAATTTTTTTCTCACTTTCCAAACATTTCGTAGAATCATGGGTGTTTTCACATACGAATCCGAGTCCACCTCCGTCATCCCCCCTGCTAGGTTGTTCAATGCGACTGCTCTTGATGGTGACAAACTCATCGCCAAGCTTGCACCGCAAGCTGTGAAGAGCGTTGAGATCCTTGAAGGAGATGGCGGAGCTGGAACCATTATGAAGATCAGCTTCGGTGAAAGTAGCACATATGGCTACGTGAAAAAAAGAATTGATGCGATTGACAAGGAGAACTTTGTGTACAAGTACAGTATGATTGAGGGAGATGCTATCTCTGAGACAATTGAGAAGATCTCTTATGAGACTATGTTGGTGGCTTCCAGCAACGGTTCGATCATCAAGCGCACCTGCCACTACCACACCAAAGGTGATGTTGAAATCAAGGAAGAGCATCTCAAGGCTGGCAAAGAGAAGGCCTCCCAACTCTTGAAGTTGGTTGAGAACTACCTCTTGGAGCACCAGGATGCCTACAACTAAATTTTCTTCTACCTCTTCAATGATTTTCTATGTGTTGATCAAAACTTTGTGTCCTCTTTAGCATCAATGAATTATGTGGTTTTCGTTCCTTTATTTGTAACTTCTGCTTCTGGAATACTATTTAGGCTTGTAATTCGAGATTTTGAGTGACCAGTGAATATTGTATTTCCTTAAATTTACAAATGAATAAAAAGAAAATCATGGAGGTTTGATAATATATTTGCATTTTTTTTGTGCACCTTGGTAATGAATTTAAAGCTTCATTTTATAACTATATGTGACCCAAACTTACATATGTAATTCATATTAATCACCAACTGATCTTTTTAAGAGCAAATTTCAACTAAAGATTATAATAAACTTATATAATATCCAAGTGGTTAGAGTGTTGAATTTTCATTATGTGTCCCGAGTTCGAAACTCCTCATTTCTTAAATTATTGTAATATTTTTGAAGGGTAAACTGTCGGTTTACCCCCTGAACTTTCAGCTCATTTTCGATTTCCCCCCTGAACTTTTCTATTGGAAAATTAAGGACTCAAACTAATTTTTTTAGCCAATTTGCCCCCTACCGTTAGTTTTTCATATATTTCATCCATATTTCCGTTAAGTGAGACCATGTGCACAACATGTGAGGATAGTTAAGTCATTTCACTCTTAAAAATGATTAAAAACTGAAAATAAATAATAATAAAAACTTTCCCTCTATTTTTTTCCCGCTAATTCCTATCCTCAATTTTATTTTTCCCTCTCATTCCTATGCATGAGAAATGACATATGGTGTTATTGACTTCATAAGTAGCTAAGTTAATCTTTTTCTTGAATCATGTACTACCATTTTTATTTTCTCTAACAAATTAATAATTTGACAAATGCTCATGGTGTTATTGTCTTCAAAGCAGTACATTAATATAAGAAACATGTCCATAAAAAAGACTAGGGTTTCTTATATTAATGCACTGCTTTGGAGACAATAGCACCATTAGCATTTGTCAAATTATTAATTTGTTAGAGAAAATAAAAATTGTAGACAATAACACCATATGTCATTTCTCATGCATAGGAATGAGAGGGAAAAATAAAATCGAGGATAGGAATTAGCGGGAAGAAATAGAGGGAAAGTTTTGTTTTTTTTTTTTTTCAGTTTTTTAATCATTTTTAAGAGTGAAATGACTTAACTCCCTCACATGTTGTGCACATGGTCTCACTTAACGGAAATATGGATGGAATATATGAAAAACTAACGGTAGGGGGCAAATTGGCTAAAAAAATTAGTTTGAGTCCTTAATTTTCCAATAGAAAAGTTCAGGGGGGAAATCGAAAGTGAAGTGAAAGTTCAGGGGGTAAACCGACAGTTTACTCTATTTTTGAATGATAGGCATTCCCTCAACTTAAATAATAACCCAAACCTGAACTAATCCCTCCCAACCATACCCCACCATCCCAATCCAGACCTGACCCAGTCCTTCCCAAATCTCAAATGAATGGGATTGCGACAAAGTTGCATGATCGCAACCATTTCATTCGAGCTCTACATAAACCTCTCCCGCAAAACGAGCAGTGGTGATCGGTTCCGTTCGAGAATTTCTCAAAAGCAAAGCAGTATTATCACAGGCCACATTTGGAAGCGGAGCTTTTTGAACTTTTGATTATTCTCCTGATGGCGGCGATGACTACGCCGCTGCATGAGTCATGGTCACATGGTGGCTAATTGGTGACTGCAAAAGGCGGGATCTACCGGCGATAGACTAAGGCCATCTCCAACCGAAGGCTGGCCAGAGGGCTCGTTTGAGCCCTCTAGCCCTCCAAGATTCCCCAAGATATTAATATTTTAATGAACAGTACAGGGCCATATTTGCCTCAGTCTCCAACCGAGGGCCAGAGGGCCAAAGGGCTCGTTTTAGCCCTGTCACAAAAAACCGTCTCCAACCGAGGGCCAAAGGGCCATAGGGCCAAACATAATTTATTATTTAAAAACTACAATTTAATGTTGTATAAATGGCCTAGGAAGTTATACGAAAAAAATAGAATTGAAAAAAAATATGAAACAAATTTTGTGAAATAAAAGTTATAGGAAAAAAAATATGAAACAAAATTTGATTCATATGAAAAGGAAAAAAAAAGGGGAAAAAAAGAAGTTTACATTCATTAAAAAAAAAAAGAAAAAAAAAGAGGCCTAATAATACAACGGCTACTAGCCGTTATATTAAAAAACATTTCAAACTATTAGTGTCGGTTATAACCGACACTAATAGTAGAACTATTAAAAAAAAAAGAATATCTTTAATGCTGTCGGCTATAACCGACAGCAATAGGAAATCATTAAAAAAAAAATAGCCAGCCCGGGGCTGGCTGGCTGGCCGAAAGCAGCCAGCCCTCCAGCCCTCCAGCCCTCTCCGATCCCGTGGGGCCCTCCCAGATTCCAGAGCCCTCTGGCCTAGCCCTCGGTTGGAGACGGTTTTAGGGCTATTTTCGGCCCTCTGGCCCTCTGGACCCTTCGGTTGGAGATGACCTAAGGGCCTAGACCAGAGAGTGCAAGGATGAGAAGATAGAGAGGAGACTTTTCCGGCAACGAGGACAACGGTTGCAGTGGGCGGAGGTTAGGTGGGGTGGGTGAAGGGATTAAACCAGAAAAAATAAAACAAACAACAACAATGGTGATATCTAGGAAAAAAATTTCAATATAAAAGGAATACGGTGGTATACTACGTGTTTTTATATAAATGGTGAGAAATTTTATTTTTTAAGTTATTAAATTTTTAACACACAAATTTCACCATTTGTATTGTGATACATAGTGTATCACCTTGTATACTGATCACACTGAAAAATCTCTCAATATCTAGGGAAGCATTGGTTTTTTTTTTTTAATAAAAAGAAATTAAATAATTTTTATCAGTTGGAATGGAACAAATTAGCAACTACATCAGTCCATAAATATGGAATCCATTGTTACAACATCATTACTTAACAAATTCTCTAATAGATGTCTAACCTTGCAACGGATTTGTGAGTTTATGTATGACATTGAAATGTTCAAAAGATGAACATGCATTTGTTATATGATCTAAAGTTGCAGTGGTAAAATGTAATTTTCCAGTAATTTTTCATTTTGACAAGAATAGAATAGGGTTAGATGAAAGAAATCGGGTAAATTACACAAAATTACCTCAACTATGGGTCGAACTACAATTAGGAGTGGGCATGATGCGGTTCAGTACGATTCCACCCTTAAATCGGAACCAGAACCGGAAAATATCAACAGTTCGGTTTGATGCGATTCCACTTAAATTTATTATTAGAACCTTACGGTTCGGTCTACACCGATTTCGATTCGGTTCTTGCCGGTTTACAGTTTCGAATACTAAATTATTTGAACACCAAATCATTATGCATTCAAATATATCTTCTAAAAATGATTATATAAAGTTGCATCCAAGACATCTTTTCTAATGTAAATGTCCTTGGTAGTAGCACCGAGTCAACAAAAAAGATAACTAAAAGAAATATACATTGATCAGCAAACTTGGCCATATGTGTCAGTTGTCATGAGTCTCTTGGCACATAATTGATTGGACAATGCAACAAAAGTCGATAGACACATTACCTCTGTGGTATCAAAATGCTTGTCCAATACCAAAATTTTTTGCTTTTTTCATTTGCCGTGTAAACAATCTTGATTCTTGACCCACTATATTGGTCAGTCAGTCAACAAATCAAATTAAACCAAATAAAAACCAAAAATCATTCTCCAATACTCATTTTATTTCACTAGAAAAACCATGGAAAAGAGAGATAACACCTATTTGTAACCACTTATAAAGTGAAAATTATGACATTTTCATAGCCTTGAATTTAAACAAGACATTTCAATAATATAGATCATGCAAGTATTAAGCTACAGCCACCAGGCAGTATACTGTACAGACTAATCTAAGCAATTCAACAAGCATAACCTTATTCGTAGGCTTCAACAATCATCTAGTTAAAAATTAAAATGCTAGTAATCTAGCCTACACAACCTTAATTAAAGATTTGCAAAAACAAAAAAAACAAAAACTACTACAAAAGAAAAGTAGAAAAGCCACATAAAGTATTGTCATGTATTATGATGCTGAATCCCAATCTGAGAATAAGGAAAAAGACCAAAATTTTCTAATTAAAAATATTAAAATTTCTAAGACCAAAATTTGTAAACATTAAGTGGTTCCCAACAACATAAACCATGCCCACGCTTCCTTATATCAGACTCTTGTACCATTGAATTAGCTTAAACTGCATACTTCCTTTTATCTATGTCAAAAGATTTTAACAATGCTTTTAGATCATATAGCAATGGAAGTTTGATCAGCTTCACACTTCCAGTGGAATTCAACCATATTCCTAATCTCAAATATGAGAATAGATAGAGAAAATACCAAGGAACTGTCTAAGCTGTCACAGAGGACAGATCAATGGAGGACGAAATGTCTAAGCTGTCGCGAAGGAGGGATGATGAGGGCCGTCGCAGTTAAGGTTGTGGGCTGAATCGCTGATATTTTGGATGAGAGGTCTGAGGTCGTGAGTGGGTGGGTGGTCGCCGGTCGGTTCTCTGTGTGAAATGGGATGGGGGAATCAGGAAATGGAGTGTGAGTGTGTGAGGCCGTAAGGTCAGCGACTTAGTGCGAATGAACCCTAATTGGGATAAAATCCAATGCTTTGCAATTTGGTGAAACAAAATTTTCACCAATCATACCATGACATGTGTATATATATATATAATTAAATTATTTATTATTAATAAAACGATTCGGTTCGGTTCTGGCCGGTTCATGATCATTCGAAATCGGAACCAAAACCGGTTTGAACGGTTCGGTTCGATTTTTGGCTCAAAATTGACTTTTCCGATCAACACGGTTTTTTTCGATTTTTTTAACATACGGTTCGATGCAGTTTTGCAGTTTGGCAGTTTTATGCCCACCCCTAACTACAATCTCATACCTCATGCTTTTAAAATTACAATGTCATACCTCATCTTTCGAATTTGTTGCAATGTTAGACCTCCGTCAGTTTTTCTTTAAATTTCTCTGTTAAATGCTAACGTAGCTTGAGGTGGGCCCACTTCCTAGTCTAACTAGATTAAAAAATTAATTAAATATTAAAAATAAAATCATTTAAATATTTTTATAAAAAAAATATGGAACCCACCCCTTCAAACCATCACCCTCACCCTTCTTCTCCAATT